TGGAGAAGTATTGAAATACAAGGCAAGAGCGATCATACAAGGTTACAACGCGGTACAAGGGATCGATTACCTCGACTCCTTCTCAGCGACAGCGAACCCAGTTACGATCAGACTCCTTCTGACAATCGCCAGAGCAAACAAATGGCACGTCAGATGTCAAGATATCTCAACTGCATACCTGATGGCACCACTTCCTACAGTTGTATATATCAGGACCCCAAAGGAATTTCAAGAGTTCTGCAACATTAGAGCAGCATACTTGAAGATCCTGAGTTCAGTCTATGGACTTCCTTCATCAGGTCGAAACTTCTGGAAGAAGCTCTGCCAAGACCTACGCGATTTCGGTTTCAAAGCCTGCACGTCAGATGATTGTTTGTTTCTATATCATGACGAGCAAGGGGGAGAGATCATCATCGCATTAGTAGTCGACGACATCATCCAAGCTAGCAACAGCCAAGCACTATTTGCAAAGTTCGACGACTTCATGATGAACACAAAAGGATACAGCGTAACAACTGACAACGATCTTAGCTTCTATCTGGGAGTCGCGTACAAGAGGGACGAAGCTGGAGACTTCATCAGCAACCAGCAAGCGTACATCGAAAAATGTTTGAAAAGATTTAACCTTGAGGGGATCGACCCTACAGGGAAATTCACCACGCCAATGGATCCCAAGTTCGTGATCGAACCAGAAGACGTTGATCCGCACGCGCCTGAAGACTTAGTCAAAATTTACAGAAGCCAAGTAGCAAGTCTGATATACATAGCAACATGGTCAAGACCAGAAATCAGCTATGCAGTATCATTGCTATCAAGATATCTCACAAGTCCTACGAAGAAACTGTTAATGGCAGTGCACAGAGTATACGCTTATCTCAAGAACACCAAGACACTAGGAATCAGATACACCGACAACGATGACAACGGACACAAGAAAATGGAACTAGTCGCATTCTGCGATAGCTCAGACGCCGATTGCAAGCTCACAAGCAGATCAACCGGTGGATACGTCATTTTCCTCAATGGGACACCAATCTCATGGAAATCAGCAAGACACAACACAGTCTCACTGTCTACCATGGAAAGCGAATACATCCAAAGCACGCTTACAGCTATCGAGATTTTGTACTTGCGAGAGACGCTCGAGTTCATGGGATACAAGCAACCTACGACGATATGCTATCAAGACAACGCCGCCTGCATCAAGCTCAGCGAGAATCCCGTCAGCAAGAGCAGATCGAAACACATCAAGAGAAGACACCACTTCATACGACAATGCGTTGCCAACAAGGAGATCACCTTGGAAGCAATTCATACAAGCGAGCAAGTTGCTGATATATTCACAAAACCGCTGCCCGCTGATCAGTTTCTCTACCTAAGAGACCAACTGTTGAACCTCCCTGAAGCAATACGCTATCAAAGGAAAACAAAAAAGTAATTCATACGATGATTACCTTTGGTAATTTTCAAAATGAATAAACTTTTCTCAAACTTGTCTAAGATCCTTCGAAGGACAAAGACACATACGCGAAGTGCTGAGCGCCTCTGGACTGTTCTAGTACCAGGGAGTAGCATAGTACAAGCGAAACCATAAGCATGTGGCACAACTTGAGCATCCCTGGGGCATTGCGACTTCAGTGGGTAGTGATAGTTGCTTGCAAACGCAAATGGACATGGGAGAAAGGAGTAAGAGTTTCATAGCACAGCTTCCCCATAGTGCATGGGCTGATATGGTGACATGGAAACATGATTGCTAATCAGGGCGATGGCGCGTAACATGATTTCTTTTGAAACATGGAAACGTACTCTTCGTTAACTCACTACGTGGGTAACCGGCGTGTAGCAAAATGCTGCATAGCTGCTCTAAACTTCCATTGAAGCTAGTTGATGATGCGAAAAGCTACATCAGGGTTTGGAATTGCTTACCCCACACAATCAGCAGTGTGTGAAAGGCAATCCAACGTCTCGTTACCTCAAAAATGCTACACGCAATTCCTCACGTGCATCCACAAAATGCTACGAAGGAAACGTAAAAGCATGTGGAAACGACGTGTTATGCTCACTGAAAGGCATATGAATGCATGTATGACTTTGGAACCTATGTCATTTGCTGAAACGTACTGGGAACTCACCGTCCTGGGCCACATTTGCATTTTGGCTTTCTGCCATTTTCGCATTTTGTTGGTTAGTTCGCGAAGAGACAAAGGGAGACCCTCATACAGCACCAGAATCGTTGGGTCGGTCCCGGTGTTGCATAAATCAATGCTCTCACGCAGTGACGACACTGAGTTTCGAGCAAGGGGGAGTGATGTTGCACCCGCATGACGTTACGTCAGTAACGGACATGGCAGCATCATGCGAGTAGTCGCAAGAGGCTACGTACGCTGGCGAGGTGTATAATGCTAGAATCGAAGATGTGTACTGGACGTAGACGTACGTACAACACATTGGTATGATGAAAGCATGAGGCTGGTATAAATGTTGAAGCACCTGATAGGAGGAAGTATTACGGGTTAAGCCTGACCTCGACATATAAGCAACCCATCTTAGACGTTGGCCACGTCATCGGAATGGGATTGCACGAACATTGACGTGTGTTCTCTTACTGCTGTACATAAACAAATCTAGCTTCATTGTTCATCTGTTCTACTCCTAAGTGCACTATCGCTCAGTTGCTGGACTATACCCGCATCATCCATGACTTCAGGGGTGATACTTCCAATCTCCCCTTGAGCGTACTGAGCCGTATTCTGCCACCGTGACGGTGTCATCTGCTGTCCTGTCGTGGACCGTACTGATATACTGATAAGCTGACTCGCTTATCTCCTGCTGCCATCTTCAGGTGCTTCAACAGTCCGGACGGTCCAGGGCCTGAGGGAATGATCTTTCGTCAGCTCACTTAGTAGGGGGCTTATGGGCGCCACAGACCTTAAAAAAAAAAAGACCTTAGGATTAGCTGTCCTTGTCGTTACACGGCGGTTTTAACCTTAGTCTGGTTTTGAGACGTTGTGATATAGGAAGAAAGCGATCAAGTTTCCTTCTAAAATCAGTCAATAATTTGTACCATGACCTTAACTTTTAGAGTTTTATTCTCTTTTTATTTCATTTTTGGAAGTGTTGGATTAGCAGTGAAACTGAAATGCTTGCGCAGAACGAGCGCTTGCAAGGTGTGTGAGATGTTAGCTTATGCTGTTGTAGTTGATGTTGCAAGCAAGTACAAGCAGGATGAAGAACAGCTCTATGCACACGAGGTGTTGCATGGTCCAATTACATTACTCATGTTCTAATTACAATGAACACAGGAACAAAGTTAAGATGCACATTAAACCATCACATGTACTGGATATCTGTTGCTAAACCGTTCAGAGCAACGATGTCCACATACCTCAGCTCAACTCGTTTTTACTCAGATCCGTCATGAGGGTGTCAGACACGGTTCTTTCACGAATCCAGGATGAATAGGAAGCTTGCCTTGCTGAACTCCATGAGAAGGCGGTATCCATTTGTGTTGCTAAATCTTGTCAATCATGCGTCGAGGCGAAGCCAATGATTGATTGATTGATTGCCATTATACAAGTTTACCTCATGAAAACCGTTCATCATAGGAGTCCTCACCATGAACACTGACATTCGCATCGCATGTTCGAATTCAAAACGCTTCCACTGCCCTCACGGTCCATGAGGTCTCCAACCCTATCCCTCAAGATTGAAGGTCTTGTCATTCCCTAGCTGCTGAGGCATCAATCCTCTTGTCTCACAATGGGAAGCACGCGACATACAGGAGCCACGGGTTGATGCGCACTCGGAGCATCAGGTCGAAGGTGGTTTGACTCGAACGTCCCTCGCGCGGGGGGAAGTGCCGCTAAGTCACAGTGCTGTACGATAATCATGCCAACTGCTGTCCCAGGACATGTCGCGACAGGACATGTCGCGACATGTCCTGCGCGCAGTTAAGTGAAGGTATCTGTTAAGTTTGGGGGACAGCAGTTGGCATGATTATCGTACAGTACTGTGACTTAGCGGCACTTCGGGCCCTATTCTGATGAGTTGCCATTGGCGAGAAGATTTGGCCCAAATAGATGAGATATTAATCTTGAGTTTAAATTTAAAGTCTTTGTCCGAATATGTTTTACAAAAATTCGAAATTTATTTCAAAATTTACGCCAGCTCTGGTTGACAATCCTCATCGGTTTTAGCAGAGATTATTAAAAAACACTTTTTGATATAAATACTGATTCATTTAGTTTTTGTGTTATAAACTTGTACCAGTCTATCATAATTGGTACAAACTGTTTCCTCACAAATATTCTTTTCGAATATCTTGGTCAATACAACTGTCCGCCCCCCTTTTAAATAATTTTTGTATGAACCGTTTTGAAATAACAACGTTTTGTTGTCTACCTTACAAGGGAGGAGATTGTAGGGGCAATGCCATTACCACTAAGGGTGTCTTTTACTATGACAATATCGATATCTTAAGTATAACCTGGCTTATTTTCTGAAATTGCGTAGCAAATTTGAAATTGTACTTGTTCCATGTTAGTTGACATAATCAAATATCTGCTCTATGGGACAGTCGCCGTTAATAAAATACACGCCGCATGTGGAGCGATGGCGATTTTTAGGACCCATAGGATGAAAGGGGAGGAGAAAGCGAGGAAACTTTATGGAGGAAGGAGATAGGAGAGATATTTGAAGGAGGATAAGAATGCAACATGAAAGCATGAGGGTTGGTTAGTCAGGTAGATGAAGTGAGAGTGGCAAGCGAGGGATATAGCAGGGTGGATGGACAAAGAGGATGAGAGAGGATGTGGGAGAAGAAGAGTCAGAATGATGTTTATGCAACCAGAGAATATCCCCTAGTTTCAGTCGAGGCTCGTTTTGGGATTCTAGCTCAGTTCGCATCAGCAAGAGCATCATTGTCCTCCTTTTTGTATGGATGAATGCTAGTCATCCAGTGGGAGAACAAGGTGTTGACCTCGAGATTCATGACAATGTCAAAGGTATCCAAGTCAAGAAGAGGCATGTCTATGCAAACAGCTGAGTATCACAGCGAGGAGGAGGATGAACCTATCCAGCACATGCCCTCCCCTGACAGCAAGCCTTGCATCGCTGACTGCGGGCTTCCCCCGTCCCTTGGGATGAAAACCTCACTGGGAAGCTTGTTCGGGAAGCCTGCGAGGGTTGGGATGAGCAAGAAGGTCTTCTCTATGGCGGATCTCTCCTCTGCTGTCGACTTTGCGGACAGTGAGGACGCCGGCAAACTGCCTAGCAGGAAGGCACACACGGAGCACAAGAAAGTGAACCTGAACCCTCCTACGATCGAGGACGACGATGACGACATCGGCGTTGATAGCGACGCGTACTCGGATAGCGATGACGAGGAGCTGTTGGTCAAACCAACCTTGCACCACACTGCGGGTAAGGAAGTTGAGAGCGATGGAGGCGAGCAGATTGAACGCTTCTCGGTTCAATAGGATCAGACTCTGTGCTGTCGAAAGCAAGCGGGATGAAGAAGAGTATGTCGAGCTTGGACTTCTTGAAGACAAACTTCAGCGGCTCTGGCGATCTCTCTCCGAAGCTTCCTCCCAAGGTTGAGGAGGAGGGCGCGGAGAGATTGTTCACCTGATGTGTTTGTGCGCAGCATGGCAAGAACTTGCTCGTTGTCTTCGACATGGACCACACCATGGTGGGTGACCTTGTCGCCCTTTCCGACCGTGACAACATCGAGACGAACGTGCCATGGATCTACTGGCCCGAAGTGAGGACGGGGACGGGGACGGGGACGGGGACGGGGACGGGGACGGGGACGGGGAGGAGTAGGAGGAGGAGAGAAACCGCGTACTTACGACTGGCGCAGGGAAAGAACAAGGGACTGTCCCCTGAGTTCGTGATCCCTTACTTGCAGCGGGGCATGTTGAGGCCGGTAAGAGGACGGAAATGATCTTGGGGAGGAAGAGGCAGGAGGCAGGAGGCGGGTGCTTACGTGGCGACCAACAGGGTCTGCTGGAGTTGATAACTTCCCTGCGCGGCCTCGGCGCGACCATTGTGGTGAGGATGACGGAGGGGGTTGCGGCTCTCGTGAATATGCGGCAGGTGTACACGCACTCCGAGGAGAAGTGGGCAACCAAGGTAAGCAAGAGGGAGGAGGGAGAGGAGAAGCAGGAGGAGGGAGAGGAGGCCCGGGGAGCAAATGGGAGGCTGAAAGGCTGGCAGGTCTGTGAAGCGATGGAAAGAGTTGCGGGGATGCCGTTCATCAAGAGGATCTTCTCCAGGTGATGACAACTGAGGAGACGGAGAGGGTAGACGAGCTGGAGGGGGTAGTGGGGGTGTGCGAGCTGGAGAGGGTAGTGGGGGTGTGCGAGCTGGAGGGGTTGGAGGGGGTAGAGGTGACTTGATGGGATAGGATGGACTGCAAGGATGGACACCCAGAGTTCACGGTGAGCTTCATAGAGCCATTTCGATGCCGGCCACTGATGGTTTCCTCCCCTTCCTTCTCCCCCTGTTTGTGCTGCTTCTGCTGCTTCTCCTACTCCTCCTCTTCCTCTTCCTTCTCCTTCTCTTTCTCCTTGACAGGCCAGGAAATCCCTCGAGTTCGTCGTGAAAGAGATGAAGGAGAAGGACGGTGAGGAGACAGTGAGCTTCTCCTCTTGTTCTCATGGACAAAATCCCAGGTCTCCATTGGGCTGAAGTCGACAAGACCATCTTTTTCGATGACGACGGCAACGCAGTCAACAAGTCTGAGCAGTCACGTCTCGTCAAGGTTAATAATCCTTCTTTCCTCCCGACTGTCTGGCTCTTCGTCCTCGTCCTCGTCCTCGTCCTCGTCCTCGTCCTCGTCCTCGTCCTCCTCCAGCCTCTTCTCCTCCTCTTTGAGCCTCTGCTCCCCTCCTCCCTCTCTTCCTTCTCGTCTCGCTAAGTCTTTCTGCTCGTTTTCCTCCTCGTCTCCTTCCTCCTCGCTGCGTCCCCATCTTACAACCTGTTCAGGTTGCCTCCTATGACTACTGGGAGCCCTGCCAGTGGGATGAAGTTGTCAACGAGCCGATGATGCGAAGAAATCCCCCAGACCTCGCCGACATGGTGCGAAGAAGGTGCGACACAACAACGGCAGCTCTGCTACTTTTCATCCTTCTTCAATGTTCCTTCTTCCTGCTTCTCCTTTTCTTTGCCTTCTCGCTCTTCCTTTCACAAAGTGTTGTTTTCCTTCTCTTTACTGACGGCTTCACAGTGTTGTCGAGTGGGGCATTGCTCCCCCCTCCTACATCAAGGGCAAAGTCACGGCAGAAGACGCGAAGAAGGACGCGAGGTGGGCGGCGCAGCTGCAGAAGAAAGAGTCTATCCTGCTCTCCTTCAACAAGGTCGCCAAGCTCGACCGCGTCATGTTTGACATCCGCGAGGTGAGAAAGAGGAGAAGCATTGCAGAAGGAGAGGGTGGAGTGGGAACTGGGATAGCCACAGAAAGTGAGAGGCTGAAAAGGAGGAGGGGAGGAGGAGGAGAGGAGGAGGAGGAGAGGAGGAGCTGACTGAGGGGTCTTGTAGTGCATCATGAAGCACGTCACCGACCTGGAGGTAAACATGTTGTCTCTCCCCTCCTTTTGCAGTCAGCAGTTGCTCCTGCTTTTCCCCTGCTGCCTCCCCCCCTTCCCCCCTCCCCCTCCCTCCCATCTTTCCTTTGACCTTCTCCTTCTTCTCCATCTGGACCCAACTCTCGTTTCCTTACTTTATTTTCGTTCTCCTACTGCTCTGTCTGACTTTCTTTTAGATGCTGCCTGAGAAAGTTAGATCTCATCTTGGCAACACGATCCAGCCACAGTAAGTCCTCGTCCTCCTCTGCCGCTCCGTCGCTCACACCCCCCCCCCTCCTGCAGGTCTCGTCGACGCAACTAAGATCTGTCAAGGCGGCTCTCCGTTCCTTGTATCTTGCTCTCCCTCCCTTCCCCCCTTCTTCTTGCCCTGCCACAAGAGCGCTTAAGTCGCGCCATCAACGTCTGGACTGGTTGAGGCTGCGGAGGATGTCATGGAGCCAGTCTCCGGTGCTCCTCCTGCTCTGCTGGAGGAAGCAGTACCCCTCCGCTACCCTCACCCCGAACATGACGGACTGTACTACCAGCAGGGTCGTAAGTGAATAGATCAACACTTGTTCCACCTCCAGCCCCAGCAGCTTTCCACCTGTCACGTACTCTCCGACAGATGCCAGATTCCCTCCCGCATCGCCCAGCTGTCCAGCCCGATGACGTATGATGACGTCATCCCGACGGCTCCCAGCCATTCAAGAGGCCGTTGAGAGAAAAGCCTCAGGCCGAACCACCACTGGAGCGCGAGGACGGGAGGAAAGAAGAACATGCAGACGCCGAGGAAGAGAAGGTGCTCGTTCTCGCTGGCGAGAAAGTTGAGCCCTCCCAGCGACATGAGCAGGCATCCCAGCACCATGCCATAGTCCACTGCACTTCGCTTCGCTGGCTCAGCGTCTACCCAGGCCACGAGCTCGTCCTGCGAGCGCGGCCTCAGCATGCTAAGAGTCACGATGCTGGCGAGGGTCGTGTGGTCGACGAACCAGATCCACTCCTCTACCGGCATCGCCCCGATGGTGCCGAGCATGGAGCCCTTGTCGAAGGTGAAGACGCCCTTGGAAAAGATGAAGTTGTCCCAGGCCGAGGAGAAGGTGATGGCGGCGAGGGCGAGTGGAAAGATGCTCATGTACCCAACCTTCCGCACGCTGTCAGCTGCCCAACTGAGCGGACGAGGCCGGGAAAATCTCATCCAGAGCTCGGGGAGGACGAGGAAGAGATGCAGCTGAAGGTAAGTCATGTGCCCTGCATGCGTCAAAGCGTACCCAGCAAGGAACAAGACAGTTGCCATGCCACTTAGCAGCCTCGTGCCTTCTGATTCCACTGACACTTCTTCCTTTTGATGTATACGGCTGCTTGTTGTTTCTGCCAGTGTGACTTGCTCTTCGATCGGCCGGACTTTCTGTAGCGGTAGCTGCATTCGCAAGGACAGAGGTTTACGAAACGTTGAACCCAGTTGACAACTTTGCGCATTTCCTTGGAGCGATTGACAAGGATAGATTGGTGAGACTAAATTGAATTGATGAAAACTTTCAACCCCTGACAAGAGCAGAGCAGCAGACAAGCCAAGAAGCAACTTAACAGACAACATTTCTAATCCTCCACGACTCTTTCCTGGAAACTTTCCTCCCGCCTTTCACCTCGCTTAGTCGCTTTCTCTATCGATTTTCCACTGCTCGTCTCTCTCGTCTCTTTTTGCTCTCCTCTCCTCGGGCTTGCATACAATTCTGCTCTCTCGTCTTCGTCCTCTTCCTCCGTCAAGCCGATCCCGTTGTACCGCCCATACAGGCAGTGACACTAACCACCCTACCCTCAGCTTCGCCACCCAATTACGTTTCACCCCTCCTTTTCCCCTCGAACAAACTTAAGTGATCTTTTGAATATTTATTAAGTAAACTCAAGTACCATCGCAACTGTGATGAAGTACCCCCACCCCCTTAAATACAACCCACCCCTCGCTGCCCACCGAAAGCAGGACCCCTCAATTCAATCCTCACAAGGGGACTTTAGTGCGAACCAAATTATTCACTCACTTTCATACTCGTATTATATTAGTATCATATAATTTTTAGCTATTTATTTAATATAATATTTCATTGTCTAAGGGGTGGGCCATTTTTTTATTACCCCCCTAAAGTGCCCCCACCTGAGAGGTCGCAATTCTACTCAGTTTTCGATAAAATTAACCAATAAGTATGTTAAATAGCCCAAAGGGTTCTTAAATCTCAACGGTTCTCAGACTTCCGTCCTTAAATTTCAAAAGTCGTCATAGGGAGGAAAGTGGCATGGAACCGGGCGGGTCAGGTAGGGGACGAGGGACACTAGTACTACATCAGGATCGGCGGGCCGCCGGGCCGGGGCCCGGCATTGAGTCACACTGATCACTCAACAGTTTTTGAAGTTTCGAAATGGAGGGCGAAGTGGACAGGAGGGAGGGAGGGAGGGAGGGAGGGAGGGAGGGAGGGAGGGAGGGAGGGAGGGAGGGAGGGAGGGAGGTTCGAGTGGTGATGCAGGTCGGGAGTCAA